GAAAGTCAAGGAAGTCTCAGAAAACTAAATTGTCCAGACAATAGCGCTTATTCGTAGGACGCTGTTCTCGATCTCATAAAATGACCACATAAGTCGTGTTCCCGGGCAACGACCTTGGCACATCAATCCTGCCAATTGTCGACCTTTGAACCCAAATGAGAAACGTTTTTGAACCTGCTTCGTTAGCTATAACAGCACTCAAACTTGATTACCTTCGGCTGGACTTGTCAATGTTGATCATTCATCATGACCTATCGTCGACCGTGACCATAATGTAGCCATAGCATAATAACCTTGACTCCCATCCAACTGAGAGTAGTTAGTTTTCAAATAGAAGCTTTTCACCTAAACTACATCGTCAATTTTGACCCTTCACCAAGACTCATTGTCAACCACAAACTTTCAAATAAGCTAATCGTTGACCTTGACCCTTCACTAAGCTTACTGTAGACCTTGAACCTTCACAAATATCCATCATTAATCTTGGAGTTTCGCCAAAACTCATTGTTAAACTTAAAAGTGCACATCATAAGCTCATCGTAAAACTTGATAACTAACCCCTCACCCCCATTCAACTAGAGTGGTTGATTTCCAACTTTCACCTTTCACCCGGAACTTCCTTAAGAACCTTGACCTTGACCTCTCAACTGGAGTCCTCGTCGACCTTGACCGTGGTGTGGTTGTAGAGCCCCTGCTCCATCAGCTGTTGGGCCAGCTGGTTCCGGACCCCCGTGGACTTCTTGATCTTGGCGCGCTTGTTCTGGAACCAGATCTTGATCTGAGACTCGGACAGGCCCAGCTCCACGGCCAGGGACTTCCGCCGGCTCTCCGTCAGGTACCTGAGAGGGGGAGGGGAGGAAGAGATTTGTTATGAGAAATTTGTTGTCTTTTGTTGTTTTGTTGTTGTTGGGTTTTTTATATTTTTTATAGGTTTTTTTTGGTTGCTTTTGTTGTTTTTGCTGTTATTAATATTATTTTAGTTATTATTATTATAATTATTATTATTATCATTGTTGTGTCGTTGTTGTTGCTGCTGCTGTTGCTGCTGTTGTAACTGTTGTTGTTGTTGCTGTTACTGTTGCTAAACATGGGGGCATCGCTACCTTTTAGATCTCTTCTCTATATAATATGTTTATGATTATTTGTTTTCTATCTGTATCTTTCTTTTCTTTTCATTACTTTATGTCTGGCATACAGTGAATGCATACAAATGAAAATTGATATGACTGTCGACTGTTTGCTTACTTAATTTAAGATGCAAACTGCTTCAAACTTGCGAGTCGGGGATAACCTGAATCCAATGAAACACACACAAAACACTTACACACAAAACACTTACACACACACACACACACACACACACACACATACACATATGCTCAGATATACAAACTAGCGCAAATACACACTAAAAAAAAAAATGCACAATACACGC